GTATTTATTTATTTATCTATTTAAAATCTTTTTTATATAAAAAAATATTTAGTTAGAGGGTATTAAGGTACTCGCAATACTAATAATAGGTCACACTATAAGTGCTGACGATAAAAGACGTTACATAATTAGTTCACATAGGAGCTGAAGATTAGAAGGAGAGATACAGATTATAGATGTTTGACAGGGAAAAAAGAGTAAACCACACTAAAGCACTCGCCAACACCCACTTGGGCCTGGGCTAGCTAAAGAAAAAATACAATAACTGCACAATAGTTCTACTGCACAACAGTATCGACTATTTCGAAACAGCGCCATCACAGAAGTAAGGGCAGCGACCTCGCTGACACGTACCCTCTCCCTGGTCCAGGCGGGAGGTCAGCGGACACTGGACACTGGACGGCTCGGACAACAGGTCGATCAATGCTCGTCGTAATAGGATGATATATTGTGGTCAAGCAGGTATTGGAATCTATTATCCGGGGACAATAAGCACCTTTCTACTGACCAAGGCTTGATCACGATTCCGCACGGCGTGGAGTGGGCACGTGAGCGGACAGCTGCAGCTCTGCACTTTACTACAGTAGTACACTAGAGTACAAACTGCCCAAGACGGCTAGCCACAGTCGAGGAGAAAAGAGGTTGTCTAAAGGGGCCCACGCATGTTCTAAAAAAAGCGTCAGAATTTTTATACGAAATTTTGATACAAACTTTTGAGGCACATTAGCCCACACACGTTTCAGTGCCCCCCCCCCAATCAAAAGTCCGTATTGTTGACATCCTCGACATGGATGGAACAGTCCGGTCTTCTCGGCCGTCACCTGCGAAATATCAAAGTTTGAACAAATTTTTTACATGAGCCCACACATGCATAAAAAATTTGACGACTCGTCAAAAAAATATCACGTGTTTGATCTGTCAAAATTTTGATTCAAAATGTTTTTAAAGGCTCTATTAAACGCCATACACACAGTTTTGAACGTGTATAGGCCCCTTTAGACAGTTGGACTGGACGTCTTGGATAGTGCTGTTATAGCTAGAATTGCCCAAGACGGGCAAACTGTCCAAGGATGATATTATATTGTGGTCAAGCAGGTATTGGAAGCTATTATCCGGGGACAATAAACAGGAGGGACAATAAACCTTGGATCGGGAACGTCTTTTACCCAAGCAGGGTACGTCTCTGTTCTCAACTGATGTACTGTGTCAAAAGACGAATCAGCGTTTCTCTTTGCTAAAAAAAAAAGAAAAGAAAGAAAGAATCACTTTGGAATGTTTTAGGTTTGAAGGCTCGAGGGAAGCGGAAACATAGCAGGTTTTGGAAGTGTATAAATCAGCCCTGCTTTTGAAAAGGTTAACCATCGTCGAGGATAAAGTGGTTTTCTTAGGCAGGTTGATGTGTTGGGCAATGTCAACACGTTTTTTTCAACACAAAGAGGGGGGGGGGGGAGTGGTCGTTTGTACGGGTGATTGCTTGCTTTGGGCAGATGGGCGTTAGAGAGCAGGTTCGACTGAACTGGCCTACTGTAGTAATAAATAGCGTTTGTATAGCGCATATCCCCACTCGAAAGCAATCTCTATGCGCTTTACACTATATTATTACCCCAGCAGACCATAGAACACTCCGAAACATTCTCAGCTTCCCAGGAAGCATACAGTGCAAGCAGCTGATTAAGCGCTCAAACACTAACAAACTGACAAGATCTTTCGCTGTCTATAGCCGGGTACCCATTCCCACCTGGGCGAAGTGAGGAAAATTCGTGTAAAGTGCCTTTCCCAAGGACACAACGACGGGCCCTTGACGGGATTCGAACCCACGACCTTACGGCTGCGAGTCCGAGAGCCTAACCACTAGGGCCACCGACGCCACATAAAGGGAACACGTAAAGGTGAACAAATGGTGAAATGGTATTGGTTTACCGCCAACATGTAATGGGTGAGGGATTGCCTTTTATGCTTCCATTGACACAAGTAAAAGACTTTTTAGAATGCGGGCTGCTTCTACAGGGACTGTCTGGGCCAACCACAGCAGAGGGGGATGTGGCATCCTAAGAGACCGACAGACAGACAGACAGACAGACAGGCAGACAGACAGACAGACAGACAGACAGACAGACAGACAGACAGACAGACAGACAGATAAACATACTCGATAAGATGTCTCCCCCTCCGCCCCCCCCCCCCAGGCGGGAATCGAACTCACATCTTCTACATGCAACAGCAACTAGCTAAACCATTATACCCCACACCAGTACACCCGGTGTTATCAAATGCCGGAGCGTTATGGCGATTTCAACAGGAAATAGAATGTGTGCTAACGTGTCAGAGGTCCAGGTTGTTGGGTAACAAGACGCAAATCTTCCTTAGGTTTTACCTGTCCCCGCGGTTTTATGCACACACAAAAAAAATGAAATTATGCAAACGGAGCCAAAAAAATGTGAAATTTTGCTTCTGTTTTTTTGTAAAATGTTTTACGGCGCTCGCAACTGCATAAGGTCATATGAGCGCGCGGGACACACCTAACATTTTCAGTTGGTAGGAAAGTAAAGTTGTTCCCGCATCCGATCCGGATATTGGAGATTGCCTTGTTAGTGAGACAACTTCCCCATGGGCTTCGGGCATATTGTGGTAGGGTGGAGAGTTCCTTTCCACGCCGCCTTTTGCTATCACTATCTCTACTATCTGTATGAAGTAAGGGTGCTTTGTTTTGTCAAGTGGATTTCCTGTCCATGCAATGTGATACTCTCTGGTTCCTAAACCAACATTTCAGTGGTCGCTAGAGGCCCAGATCAAACTGCATTCAGTGAGTGAGACAGAGGCTACGCTGACAACAATCTATGACCTCTTGTTGGGTATAGGTCATGGTACATGCCAAAGGCAAGTACGTAACTAGGAAATGTACATTAACACGCAATTTCTTAACATTATTAAACCTGGTGGGCCATACTGCTAACTCATTAACTGTAAGTTCATAAATGAGTACGTTGGGTTATTTGGCAGACTTAACCTACAGATGCTAAGAAAAATGTGAGATCCAGAAGGTAGAAACGTAAGCCCATCTACTGATAAAGTATTTTTCTTACAGCCTAATCCATAATAGAAACCCTTTTGAAGTATGGGTCTTATCGTCTCATCACAGTTCGATTATGTGCAATGTATCAACAAATGGCAACGTACCATAACGCATATAAACCTGTCTCTTTACAAGTGGGACACATACAAGTTTTAAATATTTTTGTGGGTTTTTTTTTAGTAGAGGTTTTATGGCACTCGCAACTGCATAAGGTCATATGAGCGCCAGAAGATTAGAGGTGTTACAAGAGAGTAATAAACATAAAAAAAGAAGAAGGGGAGATAAGGACGATAGATCTTTGATAGGAAAGAAGAAGCAAACCACACCAGAGCACCCGCCAACCACCCACATATTTGTGTGTGAGCACCCTACACATAGCAGTACGCTCAGAGAAAGCAGGAACAACAGAGGCAAAATCTTCATAATAAGGGAGAGAAAATGAGAGTCAGAATGTTCTACTCATAATCCCATCACTATGGCTGTGTCTTTGAGTCACAAATAAAACCTGCGAGTCATCCACAGTGAGCATAAAAAAAAGAGGAATGAAATATACACCAGTTAGAAGATCTCACAACAAGTATGTCAAAGTAAAGAGTAAAGTGTCCACATGTCAAGTTACCATAAATTTGTAACTTAGTTTAGTTGTAGTAAAAATTTTGCGAAATTTGCAACACAAAATAGGTCATAGAAGAGCTGAAGATTAAAGGTGTTACCAGAGGGCAACGTACAAATTAAAGAAGAGGGAGTCATAAAGATGATAGATGTTTGATAGGAAAGAAGGAACAAATCACTAATCACCCACAAATTGAAAACAACTGACAAGACAAAAGAATTAAAAGCACAACTTTTATTCCTCACTGTGGCACACAAACAAAACAAAATAGAAAGACATCTCGATTTGAATGTAAAAAATGTCATACATTATGCCCATAAATATAACATGCCCTATACAAATACCACTGAGGCAGATTAAAAAAACAATTGACTTTTATACAATTTTTAAACAAAGCATTGACAAAACACGAAGACAAAAGTAATTAAGACAGCAGTTTTAGAGCACTTTTCGGTTGAAACTAAAACGGCATGACCTCAATACATAATATTCTCAATTTTCTCCACCGTTGAAGTGTACGATTTGTCTTTATCTTTCTATGTTTGTATTTAATGAAAAGGATGGAAACATGTTGCTACAGAAGATCAGGGGCAAATGAGAAAATTAAAACAAACTGAAAGATGATGTGCAATACTGAGATGATTGGGTTTAAGGCATAAAGTCAGTACATAAAATGACAAAAAGGGAATTCCACAAGCAATGATGTCAGTATATGTCAGCCAAATACACCTTGTTACACATCTGTTTATATAAATAGAAGTGAAAAAGCTATATGGTCGCTGGTAGTGCCTCTAAAAAGCAGAATAAAGGAAGTGATTATTTGTCATGGTCAACAACCAGATGGATTGGACACACCCTGAGGAGACCCTGAGGAGACCCCCGACAAGCATCATCAGGCAGGCTTTAACGTGGAACCCACAAGGAAAGCGTAAGAAGGGAAAACCAAAGATGACATGGAGACGAGCGGTACAAGCGGAAATTGAAAAAGCGGGGACATCATGGAAACAGATAGAAAAGGATGCTCAGGACAGGCTTCGCTGGAGTAATGCTGTTGATGGCCTGTGCTCCACTGGGAGTTAAAAAGGGCAAGAGAGAGAAACAACCTGACAAGCAAACATGTGATTGTAGTTGTAGTGTATGATACTGTATGGGACATTCATATGATTTCCAAGGAGGAAATTTATTTTTTTAAAGCGTTTCTCCATCTGTCGGCTGGGATGTCACATCCCTCTCAGACCAAGCTGGCTCCGACAGGCAGGGTCAGAGCAGCCCACCGGCAAAATGATCTAAATTGTGTCGGTGTGGGTGTGAAACTTTTACAATTATTGTTGAAATTGATGGCCGTCGATTGTCAAGGGGAAAAGTGGTTGTCATAGACAAGTGGATGTCTTAGATACTAGCATCACAGTAGAAAAAACGCAAGGGGGGAAGTGGCTATTGGTACAGCTGATTGTCTTGGACAGGGGGCTGTTAGAGCAGGTACGACTGTACATTTATAAAAATGATTAAAAATAGTGCTTTGGAATCATTTCTGTGGTACTGTAGTCCGGTGATGATGATGATGATGATGATGTAGTCCAGTGGTACAACCATGGAATCCGAGTCATGAATCAACTTGTTACATAACACTAACACACTAAACATGACAAGAATTTCGTGCACCATTCAGTCATTTTCAAACCCTCAGTAATAAAGATTCTGTATAATATGAACATGAACAAATATTACACAAACTCTTGATCCAGTGACAAGTAAAAATAATGGATATTTTGCTAATGAAAAACATCCACATAAAGAAAACAACCTTGATTCTGCCCTTCTTTGGGTTCCAGTTGCACTTTTGGTAGAGTAAGGTTGGGCTAGAGGCTAGAATCAAGCTAGAACAAATAGAGAAATTGTAATTATAGAGAAGCAAGCACCACAGGAGCCCCTGCCAAGCACCTGGACAGAGAAATTCCAACAGGCCATTCTCTCTCTTCTCTTAAATTCGACATATTCTACACAGTATGGCAGAATGCACAGCGGCAGACGGTGACCATAAGCACTGGCGGGTCATTGCACATCAACCTCTGAGCCAGAGATGACACAATTTCCAGGTATCTAGGTATTCTTCCAACAATAAAAAGAATCTAATTTATGTACCTAGTGGTGGCTGGCAAGTACTTGGGTCTGGTTTGCTTCTTCCACATTCTCAGACCCATAACAAATTCAAGGAGCAAGTGTCTGATCACTGCTGATTATGTGATAGAAAATATGGCAGCTTTCTGGAACCGACAAAAAGGTGAGCAGACCAATAGAGTAGGCCCTACCAAGAGAAACTGTTAATATTCTGGTGTAAAACAACTGCCACAAATATGTTCATTTATCGATCCTGCAACAGTCCCTTCTTCGTGTGACTGTATTTTGGTATTCCATGCATGGCTTTAAGGGTGTACAAGACTTTCAACAGGACCTATATATCAACACCAGCTGACGTTTTGGTCACCTAGTACCTAGTAAATATATTGCAACAATTCTCGTGATTTTCAGATTATAATATGAATACAGCACAGGCATTATGAAGATCTTTGTAGCAAGTTGAGGATCACAGCGCAGGATGCAGCAGCCACACTAAAAAATCCTCCCCTGAAATACAGACAAAAGAACAGATCAAATGATAGTTTGGTTGTAAATAATCAAATGTCTTCTTTTGATCTCTAAGCCCCAAACATTCAGAAAGTAGTTTCCTTTATCATACAAACCACGCATGACAAACCTCAACCTCAGAATAAAGTTTGATTGACCTTTAATCAGATTCAACTCTTCCATTTAGTGGAGAGAAGATAATGACGTCCAGTTTAGAACAATTTAACCTGCTTTGCTGTGTAATATCATGATGAGGAGAGATTCAAGTTTTTAATCAATTGTAATGGGGCTAGCTCCAAATTTTGTAAACCTAAAGGCTCAGAAGCGAATGATATTACAAATTTCTGACAACAACAATAAAACAAAGTGCAGCCCAGACTAACTGTAGTCCTTTACCTTACAGCACTAGGCTTTATTTTTGGTTATTTTGTGCCTACTTCACCAAGTATAGGATGTTGAACTCGCGTCCATAATCCTTTGCCCTGCATGACACGTTGAGAAATTAACAGAACAATTCACTTTCCCAGCACTCCCCAGATGTCTGTTGAATGTGCTCTTGATGTGCTCAATCTGAGATTCGTGTGGAAATCATTTTGTCACACATCTGAAGGCCTCGATCTTAAATACAAGGACAAATCTGTTAAATGTGAACCAACTCATTAAGGTCTTGTATGTGACAATCTCCTTGTGCTTCTTATTCATGAACACTTCATTTACTCAGGCATCTTAACAGAGTTCTCTTCTATTTGAGTAAGTGTGAAACATTCATTTTTAATTCCAGTATAAAACCAAGACTTCCAACAAGCCACTATGTGATTAAAATATAAAATGAAACAGGTGGCTGTGATGAAGTGGCTACGTGTTTTGCCAATGTGCACATAACACAACATGAGTTTGATTCCTGAGTGTGGAGGTTTTTCTATCAAGTATTTTTGTCTGTCAGCTCAAATGCTGTATCCTTCTCTTCTCGGGTTGGCCCTGACAGGCAAGGTCAAAGCAGCTTGCCTCCTAAATGATTAAAAATGTGTTGATGTGGGTGTAAAACATCTACAATTATAATTTTATAAGAAATCAAAGCCTACATTCTTTTAGTCTCAGCTGAACCCTTTGAGCCCTCTCCATCGGCAGACCAGTTGCGTTCAAAACCGCCCATATGCCTAGCCACCCGTATATCGGTGAGCAAGACCCTATCTCTAACCCAGCCTGTACAGAATAAAATGCACACACGAAAAACAGTTTACTACACAGGACGTTATTTATTATTTTGAAGATCTTTCTGAATTAGATGCTGGTAATGACGAGGACTACCCCGATTGGGACATGGAAAGTGATTGTGACAAACTGATGAATGTTAGTAATATCAAAGATAGTATAGCCTGTGGTAAGATGTTGCACTGGCCCAATTTTGTGAGGCTCATCGACAACCAGCGCCATCTAGCGGCGAGCGTGTGACAGTGTTTAAACAAACACGGTGAGTGAAACGCAACGCTCATCCTGTCGGCCTACTGGCCAGTCTTGTTCAGCCATCGGCTGTTCTAATTCCAGAGGAAAAACTAAACCACTGGTGAAAAAATGGTGAAATGGTATGGGTTTAACGCCCCTATCAAAACTATTAGGTTATTTAAGGGGCGGGACCTCCTAGTTTAATGTCCGTCTCCGATAGGACAGAGCCAAGTGGGAAGTTTGTGTAAAGTGCCTTTCCCAAGGACACAACGTTGGACCGAGCTGAGGCTCGAACCCCCGAACCCACAATCTCAGGATTACGAGTCCGATAGCCTAACCACTAGGCTACCGACGCCACTACTAAACCACTGTCTTTCTTCCTATTCTCAAAGGATAAAAAAGGCAATGGGAAATTGATTTGTTAATCTAGAGTCTAGATTTGAGCTAAACTTGAGAGACCAGATAGTCCAGCCTGTAAGCTTTGTTTACTCTCTGCATCATGCATCCTTGACTAGGACCAATGCTTTGTACTCTGTACTTTGTTGTGTGTGAGGGCCCATTCCATTAGGTGTAGATCTAGATTCTAGAGGTAAATGTTATATAGATTTGTATGTTTTTTTATGGTGTACGCTAATATGTAATTTGTTCTTTAGCACAACACGGAGAGATCAGTATTTTGCATTTAAATTGTAACTTGTTATGACGTATGGGCCATTTGCCTTGAAAGTCAATAAAGTCAAATTCAATTCAATTCTCTCTCGCCACACATACTCATACACACATGAACGCACCTGTACGCGCACGCGCACACACACATTTTATTTAATCAAGTAACATTCATAAAACTAAAAGCAATCAATACGTGTACCGTCCTGACCACTTCTGTACATTTTATCATCATCACGGCCACCATCACATCATCATCAAATCATCTTCATGTACATCACAACAACCACCACCATAACCATCCAGTGGCGGTGGGTGGACCAACATTTGGGTGGGGCTTAGGTTGCTTCCACTTCTTTACTACCAAAAAGCAAGCAATAAGAGCTCAACGGTGATGATTTTTCTATACTCACGGTGAGCCATGGCATTTTGAGAACCATTCAAACGAGGAGAATCAACTTTGTCTTCGATCTCTTTATTCTAAGTTAAATTCTTCTAGACGGCGGGGATGAAACTGTTTCACCCCCAAATTTTTTCTAATTAATTTTAATCTGATGAAAAAGTTGCTTTAAACGTGGTTCGACGTGATTTATAACACTTAAATCTCAGGGGCACACACAGCATCTCAAGCTGTTATTCCGTCTTTGAGCTGGTTTCGGTCGTGTAGTCAAGGAAAATTGAAAGCACCTAACAAAGGTCCAATGGGTGTATAGGTGACTGTGTCACTGGGGAAAGTGTGTCGTAAACTTTCACCCCATTGTCAGGGCCAGGAGAGCCTGAGCCCTTAGAAAAGAGAGAGCGACTGACAAAAGAAAAACTGTTGAGTTCGTTATATCGAGTTCATAAGACATACTTCTATGTTGTATTCTTTGTATTCTCTCTCTCTCTCCATCCCCCCCCCCCCCTCTCTCTCTCTCTCCCCCGCTCTCTCTCTTTCTCTCTCTATATATATATTCTGCTACTGTATCTAATACTAATTGACACTATCTTTTGATTTCTAATAATGCATACTCCTAGAGATCCTGTCATCAATATTATCTCATCAATACTATCAATAATATTGCATTGGATAGATTCTAGGCCTAGACTTCATGGTCGTCAATGTCTAGGCCTAGATCTGGATTTAGCAGATCGTGAGCCCATGTACCCGGTACCGGTACACTATCCTCTGTTCTTATCACTCGTTACCGAAGTGAGACTATTTTTAAACCTAATGTTTTTCTTTTTAAATAATTTAGATCTTGATAAATTATTGGAATACGTTGATCAATACTTCAGTTTGGTAGATAGATCTACATAATTATTTAGATCTAGATTAGAATGAGCCCTAGAGTAGGATTAACTAGGACGCTCTCATACTCTATGTAACAGGCCCTAGCCAAGCCATCGGTGCTCAGTCACACTCTCGCTGGGGGTGTGGCCTATTTTACACAGGCACGTTTTTTAGAGAGAGAAAGACGCAACTGCAGCGTCTTACCATAGGGCATAGTATCTTTGGTAATATATTGCTCAGTAGCTCAGGCGGAGGGGCACAGTAGCCCCAGGAGCTCAGGCGGAGGGGCACGGTAGCCCCAGGAGGTCAGGCGGAGGGGCACAGTAGCCCCAGGAGCTCAGGCGGAGGGGCACGGTAGCCCCAGGAGGTCAGGTGGAGGGGCACGGTAGCCCCAGGAGGTCAGGGCTCAAAGGGTTAGGTCACACAAAGCTCAACATGTTCTCATCGCAATGATGTTGTTGTTGTTTTCAGATCCCTTTAGCAGCGCAATGCCTCCCTCAAGTAACCACACGTCCTTGACATCTGGATTGCAATGATAAAAAGAACAGAAAAAACATACAACAAAGTCTTAACTCTTTCTTATTCCTGTTCTTCACAACAATGGTCAACCAATTTTTCTGACATTCCTTCATACTTAGAAAAAAGCAAAAGTAATTCCTAATTCCTGACGATATCTCTGACCCATTTTGTTCCCAAGAAATGAAAACAAAGCTACAGATAATGTCGGTGATCTATTTTTAGCATCCGTTGAGGAAATGTCAAGAGAAAAACAATCTACGTTCCCAGTCGATTTCAAATCTAGTGCTGCACTTTTTACCAGACATTTTACCAGACATTTTACCAGACATTTTACCAGACTTTTTACCAGACTTTTTACCAGACATTTTACCAGACATTTTACCAGACATTTTACCAGACATTTTACCAGACATTATGGCCAGGTTGCACTTTTTACTGGCCGGATGTTTCGAGTTGCGTTGAGCAAGAGAAGGTTAAATAAAACAACCATAAACGATCAGCTTACCACCACAACTTCTGTGCCAAGGGGGAGTGCTGCCAATACCTGTAGTTGGTCACTTCAATAACGGGGTCCTGCTTGAAGGCATAGATGATGTCACGAGCGCTGCAAGAAAAGAAGGCAGAGTCGGTTTTTCAGCAAGTGGTTGGAGTGCCTCACTCGTAGGTCCTACGTTTGTTCTTTCCCTTTGTCATTTCTGTGTGATTTGTCATACTTTTTCAGTGCTTTGAATGATGGTTATTTTATTGATATAATGCTTCTCTTTACTCTCACTCAGTTTCAAAGCCACTACCACGATAAAAACAAATCCAAAGTTCTGCAATCACTGGAAAGGCCAGTGAGAAAAAAAAAAGGAAAAGAAAAGACTTTTCCCATTGATCTCTACAAAAACACAAGTCAAACCTCGTTATACCGCACCTATTACATTGCCAGATTTTGCTAGTGTACAAAAAGGAATGCCTATATAAACATAGTATTCGCACCTTCACACTGCCATCCACCAACTGTTAGGCACTCAGACTTGCAACTATAAGTTCGTAGGTTGGAATCCCATCAGGAGCCCGAAGTTGTGTCCTTGGGAAACACACTTTGCATGAATTTTGCTCACTTCACCCAGGTGGAAATGGGTACCCTGCTATAGACAGTGAAAGTTCTTCTCAGTTTGATAGCGTTAGAGCACGTGAAATCCACAGCTTGCACTGCATGCTTCCCGGGAAGCCGAGAATGCTTCTGGGAGGTAACAATAGTTGTAAAGAGCATAGAGAATGCTGTAGAGCATGGATATGCGCTATATAGATGCAGTTATTATTATTACTATCATTCTAACCTCATATAATTCATTGTTGCCACCAGAGCCTCTGTGGAGCTGAGAAACTGTATGTCCACTGTTCCATATGGAGACAACTTCTGTGCAAGCTGCAAAGAATAGCAGATTTAACATATGTGAGACAGCGTGGTGGAATCAGGCTCTCGTCAATTTTGGGGCATGTAGAGTCATTGGTATCATCTTAAAGTTTTTTCACTTGTCTTTATTTGGATGAAAAAAATATCCATTTATCTTGAATACAAGTGGAGATATTTGAGAATGAAGGAGGTGGGGGTCACCTGTTTTCAGAGGAAAAATTAGTGAGAAAATGGCCGCCAAAGATTGGTTATTTTCTTAGCTTAAGAGTCCGCGGTAACAGGAAATTTCTGTTTTTTTGTCCCTTTAATCAACGTTTTTCAGGAAAATCCACACAGAAATGAGTTCTTTAATGGGCATGAAAGGTGTTGAGCCAAAAAACAAATATTTGATAACAATTCACAAACCTGATTATTTTGACGAGAGCCTGATTCCACCACGCTGTCTCACATATTACCAAAACAATCATAACACAGCATTGTCTGAGTAATTTTTTTTTATTTTGAGAGAACTTAAAAGAATTGTGTTTACCTCAGTAAACCTTATGACTTGAGTGAAAGCGAAAATGTCTCAATAATTGGATGTTCAGTACACGAGACAAAACCTCCTTCATTCACTATATATGCATCAAGTAACAGCATTTTGGTATTATTTTACTGGTACTTTCACATCCGTCCCATGTTTTAATCTGTAGCTCTTTTCCTCTTTATTGTTAAATGTTTGGCCAAAAGGTTTCACTTCCACTTTGTATCCATCGCAAATATATTTTAATTTGAATTATATTACAATATCCTAATTGCGCAGTAATATTTTGTGTGGTTTTTTTTTAACCTGGAGAGTTTCAAGGGGATGTCTATCCTGATCCTGTATTTCACCATAATTTGATGTTTTGTAAAGAGGCGTGAGTTTTTTTTAAAAAGCAAATTATTTGTGACAGTTTTAGTGGCCATCTGTAGTAGTTGTATAGGGTTTTACGCGCTCGCAACTGCATAAGGTCATATGAGCGCTGGCCATCTGTGTGTTCTGCTGCCAAAAACATGGCGGTTTAGCTTTAAAAAAAAGTAGTACATATGCAGGTGGATGTGGGAGTAAAATTTACCCAGCATTTTTACCACAACAATTACTAGAAACATTTTAACAAATGACTGGGGAAATTGTGTTATAACTGTGATGGTTTGAGTTCTCACACCCCGGACTGATTGGGTCGGGAAAGAGATTTTCTCAACCTGAAGCATGCGGGGTCTAGATTTGATTCCTCTATTTAACTGTGCATGTATGTTTACTTCACTGTGCCTCTATGTTAGCCTCCTGCACTTGGATAGTGACAATCGAGAAGGACAAAAACTAGTTTTAATCTCCTGAAAACCTAACTCAGAAAAAAAAGTTGGCTCTTCAAGGGACTTTCAGGATTAAAATGACCTTAAAAAGTAATAAATTCTTTGTACTTCTGATGGCATAAGTTGTACACGACATGCTTGGGCTTAAATAACATCAGTTCAGATGTCACAGAGATAGGCTTCCTTAACAAGCTTAAACACAGTTGTTGGTTTTTTCTTGATCCCAGCCCATTTCTGTGAACTGGTGCTTTTGTGTTTAAAAGTTTTAACCAAATGTGGGGCCTTTTGAGTTTAAATGTTAACTGTCAATGTAAGTGAAAACACACAGTGGAGCTTTAACACAGTTATCATTTGATAAATGATGATGTTATCCAAGCAGTGGAGCTTTAACACAGTTATCATTTGATAAATGATGAAGTTATCCAAACAGTGGAGCTTTAACACAGTTATCATTTGATAAATGATGATGTTATCCAAGCAGTGGAGCTTTAACACAGTTATCATTTGATAAATGATGAAGTTATCCAAACAGTGGAGCTTTAACACAGTTATCATTTGATAAATGATGATGTTATCCAAGCAGTGGAGCTTTAACACAGTTATCATTTGATAAATGATGAAGTTATCCAAACAGTGGAGCTTTAACACAGTTATCATTTGATAAATGATGAAGTTATCCAAACAGTGGAGCTTTAACACAGTTATCATTTGATAAATGATGAAGTTATCCAAACAGTGGAGCTTTAACACAGTTATCATTTGATAAATGATGAAGTTATCCAAACAGTGGAGCTTTAACACAGTTATCATTTGATAAATGATGAAGTTATCCAAACAGTGGAGCTTTAACACAGTTATCATTTGATAAATGATGATGTTATCCAAACAGTTCCAATCTGTTTCTTAGTTGTGGAGAAAAGTGTTGATCTGGGACAAATGTCTGAACAGTGGGATTCAAACGGAACTGAAAATGATCACTTTCTATGGATTTTATGAGACCATTCAAAGCAACCACGTAGTGAAACAATATCTGATTTTCAATTAAACGAAGCAACACATGTAACCTCTTTACACTGTCCCCGTCGGTTTATGCAAGAAAAATTCTGAAATTATGCAAACTGAGCCCAAAAATTTGAAATTATGCAATTTTGTTAATTTATCAAAAAATGATAAAGGAAAATAATCAGAAATTTAAAAAAAAAAAATCAAATTTTGCTAAATTATGCCGGGTGCATAAAACCACAGGGACAGATTATAGCCTGTCCTAAGTCCTGTTTAGAACGGAGAAGGGTTAAGCAAGGTACGAGAAACTCAGCCTGTGAAAAAGAAAAGAATATCGTTTTTAAAATATCAAAGAGTTATTCTAAAGAAATCCAGGACTTGGGGGCAGGGCTGGATCTTCAGCTGGAGGATGCAGGGTAGTGAAAACCTGTCTGTGGCTGGCTCAGCCGGCTACTCAGCCAACATCTCAGTCTCAGCCAGCTACTCAGCCAATCCCCATTGTTTCTTCTAGGACGACCATTTCCTTAGGAAAATAGAATGTGTCCATCATATTTACGATTAAAAAAATAAAAGTTCAATATAACGAAAACACGATGATTCCGCAGACATTACCATTGATTCAAGAAAGAGCGGAAATCCTGATTTCAATTTCACGTACAAAAAAGGAGGACGTAAGGAGGCAGGATCTGCACCATCCAGTTTCTGTGAAAGAAATGAAAACTGTCTATTTTCCATGGCAAACAAAGACCAAGTGTGTTTTGGTAAAGTTTTCTTTTAAGCTGCAAATGTATTTTGATGTAGAGGAAGATATTTTGCTCATTTAAAAAAGAATAGCAGCATAAATTTTTCTTTTAAATGCCCTTACAAAAAAGAAGTCTGAACAGAAATAATAGTAGTAATAATAGAAATAAAAATTATAAAAGTAGGAGAGAATTCATCAAGCAGGTATATCCAACAAATGTCAATCTTTCATCTGAAGAGATATATGGCTCTTTATTTATTAATAAACTTTGCCTTAATATGTGTGTAGTGCCTCTCACTTCACTTCCAATCTAAGAGAAGAACAGCATTATCTTGCAGCATCACTGCACAGCCATTCATTAGTCTGGAGAATGCAGATCGCAATTAAAAATAAAAAAATCTTTCACCAGCAGAAAGCACTAATACACAATCTAGTAATACTCTAAGGATGCAAAATAGGGCTGACATTATTTCTAAGCTTAAAAAAAAAGATAAACCTAGAAAAAATGAAATGTGAGAGGCTCCGAGCAACTACATTGAAGACGCAGAATGTTATTGCGAGATATTGTTATAACTGGACCTTGAAGTATATTTCTGTCAGGTTTTAGGAAAGATGGAAAGATCAACCATTTGTAAATTCTAATTTACAAGAATTTTGCTGAAGCCATATATATTCTAAATATTATCTAATAAATAAATTGAATGAAATGCAGCAAATTTTTTTGTTGAAATTTGGAATTATTTTCTCTTGCGGATAGACACTAATTTTCAAGCAGACCTCCTATCACATACAAAATGAAAAAGAATGATCTTGCCATTCTGGAGAAGCCCAGAGCAGATAACTGTTGAAGCAACAGAAAAAGGCAGATAGACTGCTCATCTTTTGTTTCACTCTTTTTAAAGTGGCCTTACCTGAGCAATCTTTGCAGCTGTTTTTCTTACAATTTATCCGTTAGACCCTTGTTCCTTTAAAGAGCTATAACTTTTTATAGAATTATCCAATTGCACCAAAATAAAGCGCAAAAATACTAAAGAAAGACATAGCGTTCCAAACATACACAAGTGTTGATTTAAAGAAATGTTTCTTTCCATCAGGTGTAGTCAAAGCTCCTCCTAATTGTCTTCAATGATCACTCAAAATATCCCATGAAGACCTTCAATGATCACTCAAAATATCCCATGAAGACCTTCAATGGTCACTCAAAATATCCCAGGAAGACCTTCAATGGTCACTCAAAATATCCCATGAAGACCTTCAATGATCACTCAAAATATCCCATGAAGATCTTCAATGGTCACTCAAAATATCCCATGAAGACCTTCAATGGTCACTCAAAATATCCCATGAAGACCACTTATGCCATCTGTGCCTAAACTCAAGTGCCCTTTTCCAGAAAATAGCAAAAAGTACCTTTCCCAAGGAAACAATATCTTACCCACTACAGCACTGAATGCCCATCTTATGCGTGTAAATGATCTTAACTGAGTCAATGGGATTTATATTAAGAACACAACACACAAAAAACTCAGATAACATATGTACAGATTACATATGTACAGAGGTTTTAAACTAGTACAATCAACAAAATGCCTGTATGGAGAAGCAGACCAAACTGGGGAAAACATCCTCCAGCAGTGTTGGACATACAGAGCCCTGAGACAGGTATTGTGGCCAACCCCATGAACACCACAGGAAAAGCTATATTGGCCAACGGAGGAACTGAGCAGAACAACCCAGTATATGATAGATAGACACCAGACTTCAAGTGCTATGGGATCAAGAAGAAGAAGGAAAAGTGTCAATGGGAATGTAAAATGTTTCAAGTGCATTAAAAAAAAATTTCTAATTTTGTGGTGTCAGTGGCCTAGTGGTTAGGTTCTCAGACTCACAATCGTAAGGTCCTGGGTTCGAATCCCACCAGGAGCTCGACATTATATCCTTGGAAAAGGCACTTTATATGAATTTCCCTCACTTTACCAATGTAGTAATGGGTACCTGGCTATAAACAGCCAAAGATCTTGTCAATTCGTTAATGTTTTAGTGTATGCAATCCGCAGCTTGCACTGTATGCTTCTCAGGAAGCCGAAAATGTTTCTGTGAGTTCTAGGGTCTGCTGGGTAATAAAAGTTGTAAAGAGCATAGAGTATGCTGTTGAGCATGGATATGCGGTACATAAATATGCAATTATCATTACTATCAAATTCATGAACTGACAACTATTAGTCAGAGGTGTAAATCACTAGACTAAGATCTCCTACAGGCATTCACATGAAACTTTCCTACTCACTGTGTGAGTCACTGACGCTCGAATCACATTAACACAATTGCGAAATGTGTTCATAGTTGGCAGATAGCTGTTGAAGGCAAATGGCATTATGTCCATGGAGCTGAAAAAAATAAATAAAAAGATCACAGCTTGTAGACACAGACGCAGCAATGCAGAAAGTCGTAAATTTACAAGCCCTACTAGTATTATACCTCTACAACAACAAAGAAACTACAACAGCCTGGGTAAACATCATACAAAATGTAGCCTTGTTTAACACATGCAGCAATAACAACGAACACTATAGTCGTTCCAATGACTTGAAAAAGGAAAAATTCATTAACAGTAAAAGGTGTTATAATTTTATCTATCAATTAGCCAAGTTTATGTATGTTTTATATTCTTTTTTTACCAGCTATGAGGTAAATTACAGGGTGATCCCAAAAAAACTTTACAACTTTTTTTCTGAATATCTCGGGCAAAAATTGTTCTAGAATGCTGTAATTTGGAACAGACATAATTCATTCAAAAGGAACTTGTTTGATATAAAATCCACGAAGAAGAAACATGTTTTGAAAACGGAAACGGCTAAAAGAAAAAAGCAGCCAAAAACGCAAAGTTCACCAATGTTTCAAAATCTTGTGAAGGAGGTCGTGAAAAGATTACTTGACTTTTTTCTTGATTTCTCTTTGAGATTATTTTTTCCGTCCCTGTGACAATTAAACAGTATTTAATTTCTTTTACAGAGTTTTAAAACCTAATGATTTCATTCTGAAATTCCTAGAAGCAGTGCTCCACATTCCTTCCTTTGGACTCGACACATTTTTAACTCGTCGTTCGAAATGTCCAGTGGTGCCCTTACACAAGGACCTGCTAAACCATGAGTTTTTAAAGCCACATACACTGTACATGTTCACTAAGAAGTGGCTTCTAGAGACAATAGAGTGGGGTGCCCAATAGACAGCATTTTTGGAGTTAACATATCCCGCAAACTGTTGATGTGTAGGAAAGTCCTAGCTGCAGATCATCCACGGACAGACGTCTCATGGGACTCAGCTGCAGAAATCTGCACTCTGGTGACTTTTAAAGCATGGTGCGTGTTCGACCTCATGTTTTAAAGAACTTTTTAGTTCTGATTTGTTATAGATCCATACTGACGGAACTTCTCTACTCATGACGCCAAAGGTCTTGAGGGCACCTAAGCATTCTCTCCATGCCGTGCACAGAACTTACGAAATGTCAGGGCCGGTGAGTTTGTGGAGAGGTAATGTTCAATACAAAAAGCTCTCTGCTTTTCACTAAACATAACTATGATCTAAACAGGCGAACAAAATTTGGGAAAAATAATATCTGCAGACTACAGTTGACTTGTAAGACTGCTGTAGCTTGCAATATGGCACGATTGTTGCAACTTTTAGTGGTATGCCTAATGGGAACTGGTGCGTCATGCTTTGAAAATGGCGACAAGGTTGAAAATGGGTTGTTTTTTTAATGCGCTATATAAAGCAAAACCATTTAATGGACTTATCTAAAATACATATCAGACAAATTCCTTTTGGCTTCCAAACGTTATGTTCAAATCTGAAACGCAAAACTTCAGTATGGAGCAAGATATTTAAAAAGCAAGTTGTAAAGTTTTTTTGTGATCACCCTGTACTTTCATAAAAGGACCATGACATCACAGCAAAATGCTGCAGGAACGTTTATCTGAAGAACATGGTGTAAACAAAGCATTGGTTGTGGCTGCACAGCCCTTTTAGCTAAAATCCATACAGCTAAGGCAAAAATTTTTGATAAGGGAAAGATAAAAACCTTTAAAAAAATACAGTTAAGGGCTGTTCCTATGCTACTTCTACTTCTGGCAAGAGGAAACTGAAAGAAAGTCAAGTGAGAAGTGACGGGAATTTACAGAAGGTTTTGAAGAAAATTTGTAGAGGCTGTCAGAAAAGCATTGATGTAAGTAAAAGTGCTCAAAATGGAGTTTATTCAGGAAAACTTTCGTCTAATTAAAATTGAGACACCTCCTTCAAACAAATACAAAACAGAAAATTGTCTATCATTTATTTTAAAGGGTGTGTCATACCTTCAAACTGATAAGGATCATATATGAAATTTGAATGGCCTATATCAGATTTAAGCAATACAATAAACAATCTACATTTTAAACTAATAATTTTCACAGACCTTGCATTCCAAATTCAATACATACCTGAAATTCTTTGAATGAAGAAAGTGGCACAATCTTAAGAAAACTGTGAACAAAGAAAGATGAAAAAGAAAAAAGTGAAAAAATTAACCCTGCTTCATTTGCACAGTCATTTGGTAAAATAATCATATTGGGGGGGGGGGGGGGGGGGGTGGGCTCCCATCAACCCTATAAACTCTTTTAGAGATTAGACCCAACTTGAACATAGGAGCAAGCACATAGGAGCAAGCACACAGGAGCAAGCACACAGGAGCAAGCACACAGGAGCAAGCACACAGCTGCAGGCTCTATCATCAAACCATCATCTTGGTCACGAAGACATGTCTGCATTCCCACTGCTCAGTGGAAGACTCTGCTATTTGCCATTTGGAAAAATGACGAATGACATTTTTTTGGTAAGTTTTTTGCAGTGCTCGCAACTACATAAGGTCAAATGAGCGCGTGAGACTAAACATTTCCAGCTGGTAGGATATTTTGAGTTTTCCCTGGGTGGCTGCCGAAGCCTACTCTTATCGATTTTGGACCATCAAGGGATTTTTAATGTGCGCAACTTGTACAGGGGACCTTCGAGATTTTTCACCCTTGTCCAAGAAGGCTAGGTGTAGATCTTTCCTTCAACAAGATCAGGGGTGTGGCAGAAAGACAGCAGTAAGAAGGAGCCAGGGAGTCAAGGAGTAGCAGTAGGATGGCTACAGAAAGAGTCGGGAGCCCAGAGGAGGGGGCAAAGGAGGTGAGGGGGCGGGGGAAGAAAAAGGAGATGAAAGCAGGCGACAGATCATTGTTAGAGAGCAGGAAAGGATGTGAAAGGAGAAAATTTTCAGTCGCTATCCGGATTCGAACCCAGGACCTATTGAATGAGAGGCGAACATCTTAACCTCTAGGCACAAGAGAGCCCACATATGACAGAGTCTTATAATGAGCAATCAATTTGTGTAATAAGGATGACATTTTATATTTTGTAACAGTCTGTGCTGCTGTTCTAAAACAGAGTTCATGCCGTGTGAGTAAAAAGAGTAATTCTCAAACAGCCTCACTCAGATACAGAAGGTGTAATCCTGTCATTTCCTATCAAGTGGCAGAAGGTGTAATCATGTCATTTCCTATCAAGTGGCAGAAGGTGTAATCATGTCATTTCATATCAAGTGGCAGAAGGTGTAATCATGTCATTTCCTATCAAGTGGCAGCATTAAGACAACCTTTCATCAAGTACAAAACCACTTATTTCAATCGCTCATTCACGCACTTTTCAACACATTCATTTTTATTACCATAATGAAATAGCAGCCCAACTATAATGCAATTATTTCGCCAATAAGATTTCGCTTCATGTATTCCCTCATTTCATCCTATGTTGTTGGAGAGATGAATAATTGAGAGTTACGGGCCCTTGAGACTAGGGGGCGCTGGGCGGGCCGAACAGAGTTGCCGCCCCATGACACTAGGGGCGCTAAAACATGGGTATAAAGGCAAGGCGGGAATTCTGTGCAGGCCCTTCTGTTCCGTCTCAGTTCTGCTAGAGACTAGAGTGGCTGACGTTGTCGTAGCTGCCGGCAAAGTGACCTCAGAGGGCCTGACGACGTGATCTGAGCCGGCCAGCGCAGGCACGTCGCCACCATTCTGATCCTCACATCTTCTCCTGCTCGTGAGTTGACGCCAGAGGGTAAGTACAGTGTTTCTACCTCGCAATCACATCCTATTAACTCAGTATTTCAAAATAAATGAAAACAAAAATACAAGAAAAACCAAACCAAGCATTTTTTCTTATTCATGGTTATTTTACTACAAATAACGTAAGGACAACATACATTAATGTACGGACACCATACATTAATGTAAGGACAACATACATTAATGTACGGACAACATACATTAATGTAAGGACAACATACATTAATGTACGGACAACATACATTAATGTACGGGCAACATACATTAATGTAAGGGCAACATACATTAATGTAAGGACAACATACATATATGTACGGGCAACATACATTAATGTAAGGGCAACATACATTAATGTAAGGACAACATACATTAATGTACGGGCAACATACATTAATGTACGGACAACATACATTAATGTAAGGACAACATAAATGTACGGACAACATACATTAATGTAAGGACAACATAAATGTACGGACAACATACATTAATGTACGGACAACATACATTAATGTACGGACAACATACATTAATGTACGGACAACATACATTAATGTACGGACAACATACATTAATGTACGGACAACATACATTAATGTAC